CCGGCCAGCTGGTGGGAATGGTAGCTCCTCACCCCATTCTCTACGACTGACAGGCATTGGTAGCTAAGCTGCCATTTGTCACCGCATCCGTTTGCTGGTATCCTGGAGGCTGCTGTGTGGGTGGCAGGATGAGTCTGGCTATGCGTGTCTATGTGTGCGGTTAGGAGTCTCTTGTGGCACAGGAGGGTTCTCCCTCTGGTTCTGACTGGTTTTCTATGAAGCGGGAGATTATTTCAAGCCGCACCCTGGCACTCTCCACAGCCCAATGGAACAACCACACTCAGCTCTCCTGCATCTCCTGCTCCCTCACAGCCCCACGGGCCTGTGCTCCGCACCCATTGCCACCATCAGGCGCAGCCACACTCCTCCACGATCATGTTGGGCACATCCCGCTTGACGATGTTATACTCATCATCAAAGTACAGCATGGACATAGAGCTCAGCTTGGTGGGGATGCAGCAAGAGTTCACGGGCCCTGGGTTCAGGCCACGCATGCGGTACTGGTTCACCACAGCAGTGTGGAACGAGGAGGCTGAGCCAGGGACCCCAGCCAGATAGGCAGGGCAGCTGCCCTCACAGTAGTTCCCGTAGTAGCCAGTGGGTGCAATGATCCAGTCGTTCCAGCCGATGAGCCGAAAGTCGATGAAGAACTGTTGCCTGCAACAGAGGCTGGTCCGCCCATCACACTCTAGGCCCCGTTTGCGGATTCGATGTCTGCTGTCACCTAGGCGGGCCTGCACCACTACAAAAGGCCTATGAGACTCCTCACCAGGGTCCACAAACACAGGCACCACGGCCAGCTCCTGGCAGCTGTCACACTGCACATCCAGGTTAAGGCGTCTCTCACCCCGTTCAAATAAGGCCTGGATGGCCTCTGTGATGGGAAAGGTATGCCAGCCACTACGCTTTAGGTCCACCTTCTTCTCCACCACATTCCACCTGTCACCATGCCCCTGCTCCTGGTAATACACCTTGACCCGTACCTTCCTCCGGCTGCCCTTCTCCAGGACGTAGGGGAGGAGTTTCAGGTATAGCCATAGGCTGGCCTGCACCACAAATAGGTTCTGGTTGCCTTCATTAGAGACGAAGAAATACAGGCGGACCCGGGAGGAGGCAAGGCCATCTGTGGAGATGGGGAAGAACAGGCCAAGTTAATTCCATGAGAACACAAGGCAACGGGGAATGGACTCTGCTCTGTGATGTTGGAATGAACACTCACCACAGCTGGAAAGTGTTACTGACCAGAAATACCCTTCCTGGGGCCCCGGGGCCTCTGCCATAACCTGCCACAGGCAGAAGAATCACTTCCCATTGAGAAAACAGGACCCGGGTGGAGCCAAAGGATCCAGACCTATAAAAATCCTGCCTCACCTCTCCCAGGCCAGGGCTCCCTGGAGATAGGACTGTCGGGCCTCAAAGCCCAACAGCACAACTTGTCAGGAACCCAAGATCTTAACAAGTTGTTATGGGTCTCTGAAAACAAACCAAGATTGCAAGGAGGATTTGGGGGTAGGTTGTTATAAATGGGGCTCCCCCACCCTGTCTTCTTTCTCATTAACTTAGGGCATTGCAAAATCAAGCTGAGCAGCCTCTTTGCAGTGTTTACCTAAGCCTGATCTGATCCAGCCCCCAGTGGGACCTCCACTGCAAACAAGCACGCTCTGCTCGGGTTTCTGACAGTGTGTGTGTCCTGTAAGCCGCAAAGTGCAGCCCTTGTTTCCAAGGAGTTCCAAGGGACAGGAGAGACAACCTTGAAAACTCTAGGTCCAGTCCTTTGACCAGACCCTGGCTGGAAGAACACGGCAGTCTGAGATCTGGGAGGGGTGTGCTTGTGCGCGCCAGTCATCTCAATAATACAGTTCAGCCAGAAGAATGGTTATGCCAGACAAGAGACGATGTCCCTCTCGCAGTCCATTTCGTCAGCCCTTCCCTCTAACAGTCTCTGCAGACGTGGCTGGTTCTATCAAACCACCCACTAAGCCCCCCCCCAGCCCCTTCCTCAGTTCTCACTGGTTCCTCTAATAACACTGACGTCTGACTTTGAAATAGGGGAAACTGCAGCCTTAAAAGCTGGTCTTGGCCGAGCTGCCTGTGACCTGAATCTGTTATTTATAAGTCAAAGAGCTGGCTCCGTGAATCGGACCAGAAATATAACAGCCCCTGCTGTCATTTTGTGCCACCGGGACCAAAAGGCCTCTCGACCTTCCCGAATCACATTTCTACTCTGGGCCCCAAAGCACCTTTTAATCCAGGCCCTCTAATTGCATGTCGAGCTTTCCCTGACTCTGGCGGACAGCTAAAACGGCAATGTATTTCTTTCTAAGCACAAACCAGCCTTGATTGTCTCCGCCTTTCTCCACACTCGGCCATGCAAAACTTTTCATCCCTTTTTATCCCCCGGCAGCGGCAGCGGCACAGGCAGTCTGCCTGATGCCTGGGAGAGTAGGGGGGCATTTGCAGCCAGGGGCATAGCTGATCCCCCCTCCTCTTCCCAGGCTCCCTGTTTGTCCCCCCACCCTGACTCCACCGGGCTTCCCCCTCTGAGACCTTCTCTGGAGTCTCCTCAGCACAAATGGGGTTGAGCTTTCGGCACAAAAGCCAGCCTGGCTCATTCAAGTCCTGAAAAGGACAGCGATGTCTAAGGCACTTACACCGTTTCTGCCCAGGAAATTTCCCTTCTTTTTAAATTTCCTGAAGATTTTTTTTCTCTCCCCCTCTCTTTCTCTGATTTTTATATTTAGATAGTGGACAGAGATTTGCAACACGGGGCCAAGAAAGACACTGCAGAAAGGAATCCCACTCTTTGTTAACTACAAACTCTGCCGCTCTCTCCCGGACTTGAGAGGGCTGCCACGGCTGCCAGGCAAGCCTAAAGGCATGGGGCTGTTCCTAAGCCGCGTCTTTGCGTAAATGATGGACCTGTTGAGAAGCTGCCTTCCGCCCGACTCTGGTGCCCACACAATCGGAAGGGAGGTTGCCTAGCTCTCCCCACCGATGCTTCAGCAATCCTGGCAAGCCCATGCCACCGGGTTATGGAAGCGGCCCCAGGGGCCTCTCATACAGTCTCCCACTCTCTCTCTCTCTCTCTCTCTCTCTCTCTCTCTCTCTCTCTCTCTCTCTCTCTCTCTCTCTCTCTCTCTCTCTCTCTCTCGTCCTCCGTCTCTCGCTCGCTCTTCCTCCCCCCTTCCTCCCTCTCTCTTCCTCTCCTCTCCGGCCCACGTATATCAACAAGCACACACATCTCCATCTACACTGCTAAGCCTACACTCGGATCGTGGGAAACAAAAACATTAAGCAATCACCAAGCAAGTGCCCGCAGAGCCAGGACTGCGCGCATCTGCCGGGAGGGGGACGCGCGCCCAGAGGCGCTGGGGCCCAATTCCCGTAAGCAGGGATGAAGGGCAGGGTGCTTTCCAGTTGCTTCAGGGGAAAAGCAGCAGCAAAGGGTCTGTGGTTTGGGTGCGGAGGGTAGGATAGAGAGTTCCGCCACCCTGAGACAAGCGCAAGGCCACCGCAGAATGGCCCAGCCCGGAGCCTAAATGCCCTCGGGGCGCGCGCGTGCTGGCTGCAGAGGCGGCG